AATTATTATACTAATAAATTGTGTTAAAGGCCTAATGAAGACATACTTCAGCAACTATGAGGTAACACACTAGTTGAAGGCATGAGGAACGTTTATATTGGCTCTTTTGGGTGTATACATTAAATGCAAAATCAGAAAGAAATCATGCAAAAATCCGGTTGCCCATGCAAGCACCCCCGAGTCTAATCCTCTCCTCTCAGTTCTGTTGTCAGGCCACAGTAGTGTGGAGACTTGTAGGCTGCTGTCCTTGTTGTAATGAATGGGAAGAGGCTGACAGTGGCATGGTCGAAACCTTCACCTCTTCTTCCCCTGTGGAAAAGTCAGTCATGGTCTAGTTATGGGTGACCAGATTTGTTAACAGTCCCTTTAAAAATGATTTCAATATTTGGAATACTGATACATATATAAAATACATGCTTAATGATTGGAATCCGGGTGTGAAACAAGACATGAAGTTCAAAATATAAATGTATCAAGTACCTAGAAAGTATTACACTCTAAACACACCCTTAAATTTAATACTATGTCAGATATGACAACAAATATAATAGATTTAGGATTATAAATATACAAAAAGGAAAAAAAAAAAAAAAAAGAGAGAGACCAGGAAAGCCATTCTTTGCCAAGCCAATTGGACCCCTTATAAATATAATTTAGAAACTGCTAAAAGTAAATAATTTATGAAAAAGTTAAAACCAAATTCACAGGAGCGAAAAATGTAATTTTTAAAGGGAAAAATGATAAATTAATCTTCAAAAGCAGAAATTATGCTTAGAAAAGAAAAATAAAAAGATATAAATATTAATTCAGCAAATTACCATTTAGCACCTGAAAATTTAATGTGTACTTTTGAAGTAATTAGAAAACAGTAAAATGCCAACAACAATACAATGATCCAATTGACTGAAAGCGAGATGACTACTTCTAGGTCCAAGAACTATACATGAAAGGAGATCTGTTCTCCTAATTAAAATTGATAATTATTTGGCTACAAGTGACTTGTTTCACACATGACTCAAAATTCAATCAAGTCACTGTTAACAAAGAAAATTTAAAGAAAAATGCCCTCTCATAAGTAAAATTTAATGAATAAAAACGAAAAAAAAAAAAAAATCCAACTCTAAGTATATCTTGACACAATGCTTACAGACTTAGACTCACTATTATTTGTTTTTCCAAATAATTTTTAGCATTATGGAATAAACATCTTGGTAGAGTTCCTTGAAAAACATTCCTGAAAAATTACATTTGGAAAGATAGCTTCACTGACAATGAGAAAAAAAGGACTTCCAAGTCTCTAGAATAGGTTATTTCACAGTTTTTTTTTTCAGTAAGTTGAAAGGACTCTAAAACCCTAAGTATATAGCATGGAGGATGTGCAAGGGAAATTTTATACTAAAGTTCTTTGTGAGAATATGATGCTAATGAGCAGTAAACAAAAGATTAATTTTCATCAGGTCAATAAACTTCACTCTGTTTTGCAACAATAGGACACATTTCTGAGGTGGGCCAATTGTCTCAAGAATAGATACTGTTGATAAAAAGGAACCTGAAGCGTGTGAGAGCAAAAATCAATTATTACAGGAAGAAAGCCAGTTAAAGTACATGCCAGTGATCTTCATTTATGAAGGAAAGCATCAGTGTTGTAGTGGAAAACATTTCAGTTATTGAATTTGAGTTCTTATCCTACTTCTCTTACTAGAAGAATGTGTGACTTTTAACAAATTATTTAACCTTTCTGGAACACAGTTTTGCCATTCCTAAAATGAGGAATTGGATAAGATAAGTCACTTTTTAGGACCAGAAAAGTCATTTTTTAAAAAAACAAAAGCAAATGGCCCCAATAATAAAAAATATCTATATGGACTTACTATAACTCCCACTTAATGAAAGTTTCCCCCAAGAATATTTATTTCAAAATTCCTTCTAAACTTAAGCAAATGTACTGGCAAGATATGCTAACATTTTTTCTTCTAATTAAGGAAATAACTAATTTTAAACACAAAAATGTTTTCAATTAGGCAAAGGAAATGAAAGCCACATTTCTGTCAAACCTCTAGAAACTGTCCTTCCAATGATAGGTTTCAGATATATCAATTTTTAATAATTAACTGAAACAAAACAAAAAATTTAAATACAAATACACAATAAATATAGATATGATATCAATATGATATGTAGGTGACTGACACCTCTGAGTATTTATTTATTCCTGAAGGTCAGAGGACCCTATTTTGCTCCACATACCTAAAGAATAAAAATGCAGGCCCTTTTCAGCATAGAATATTTTCTAAGTATATCTTAAAGTGGCTAGTTTCACTGAAACAGTATGTACCCTCCATTATCAAGCACGAAAGAAAAGCTACCCTATGTAAAATACCATGATATTTATTCATCACACGATACAAAGTTGAACCTATTTCACTAGTTCAACTCAAGTATAACTGAGTTACAACTAAGAATGTGAGAGGCAGATATTGCCTAGTTATTAAATTGCTTCAAATTAGACACAGTTAAGATGTTTTTACTTTCTGTCATTTCTAATTATTACTAAATCATCCAACTACAATTATACAACTATTCTGTTATCGCTTAGCACATTCAGCTCTCTGAGGTATCTGCCAAATATGTGTAGGCCGTAAGAGGATTCTGTATAACTCTTGGTAACAAATTAAAATATTTTGGCACATTAAACTAAAATTTCTCTAGTCATCAAAGCCTTAAAAATAATCTATTAATAAACTTAATAATAAGACACTACTTAAATATCAAACAAGTATGCATAGCCAAAATCTGAAATAACAAATTCTCTCCACCTCCCACAAGATTTTTTTTCATTTGACTAACATGAAGATAACTATACTCACAAGTCAGTGATTACTCATTACCACTGGGGCATTTCCAGAACACCTACTGGCTTAAAATATTTTTATTAAAACTGTTCTTTTTATGCTAATGGACAACATGATAATAATAAAATTGGAAGAACAGATAATGGTCATGTAGTAAGTCAAATAAAAGTACACAATGAAAATAGCTAAGAACTAAAGTTCTGCAAAGGCACCCATCCTCCTTCCTGTCAGATCAAGTCATGCTGTTTGCCTTGCTGACCAAGCTCCCAGGTTCTTATCTGTTGCCTCTACAATACATGAAACACCTCCTGTTATAGAAGGCAGTTTGACTGCTTCTTCACATCATGACATAGCAATAAATTCCTGCCTCTGGACCTTTATTCAGACATTCCCATTAACATAAAAGGTCTTTCTTTCCCTCCTGCTAACCCAAATCCAAGATTCCATAGCATAGATCAATTTCTACTTCTTCAATGAAACCTCCCCAACAATATAAGCTCCATTAATGTCTCTGGGAGTCCAGTATCATATAATTACCACTTTTATACATAATCATCTTATCTCTTCAACTACACTATAAAGTACCTGACCTGGAAACAGTATCCATATTTTCTTTTTCTTTTGTATTACCCACATGGCCTCCTTCATTGTTGGGCAAATAGGAGCCCAACTATTCACTGTAATTGCTTTAATATTTTATTTTTAAATGTTTAGATTACTTAGGGAAATGTAACTTTAATTTTAATGTAATAATCAGCTATAAGATACACTAGTAGTAATTGAAATCCCACATTTCTAAATGATTAAAACAAAGCAAAACAAAATTACACTCTAATATGCTGTCTTGAAAGGAATAATAAAATGAGTACCAAAAACTGAAAACTTAGTGTTTCTGTGAATATCATATAGAAGAGGATTAAAAAAAGTCACTCAGAGTCACCTACTATCATATCAGATTAACAAGTATCATGAGTCCCACTGATATGCAAACTACTATAGTAAGTGCTATCAAGATTATGCAAAATAACTTTACTGTATCAACTGTTATATTCACTACATCAACTACAAACAATACTCTCAATCCCCCTATTTGTCTTAAAAATGAAATATTTTTGGTCATAAAGAGATTAGAGCTAAAGAATTTTGATGGATCTCTGTAAATTCATCTATCTATCTTGCTAAAACCAAGACAATGAACACCTTGCTGGTAACAGCACATTATGACAATAACACTATGCCATGCCATATCTTAAAGGCTATGACAAATTATAAAAATAAATTTCATGAATTACATTTAAGTGAGGGACTATTCTATTCTACTTGAGAGAATCAGAAGAAGAACACTCTTTTTACTAGTCACTTCTAAAGCCCAAATTAAACTTTAAAAAACTATTAATAAGAATGATTCCTTTAAATATGAAGTTACTTGATCTAATTTTGGACCTAAAACCCAAAAATTCTGAAACCTTCAAGGTAACAGTACATACCAGAATTATTCTGGCATCACTTATAGAAACTTAATACCACCCCCCCCAACAAATAAAAATGATATGCCAAAAGGAAAAATATCTATCCTTGAACAATCCTTTTTTACAGAAAATATACTTATGCATATAGATGTCTGTGAAATATTAAAAATCAGAATTCTCAAATATTAAATACATTAAGCACAGTTTTGATGTGTATGTGTATATCAGTCAAAATAAATAACTGCCAAAAGTAATTAGAGGAGTGGCTTTATCCTTCATGCTCTCACTTATTACCATCTTTAAAAAAATTTTTGAACCAGTTTACTTTTAGAATGTATAATCAGAATTTTGACCACAGTGTTGGCACCGTAATTTCAGAGGCCATTTTTTTTCTTTTTGTATTTTTATGGCATATGAAAAATTGGTAACTACCTTATTAAGTGAAATTATTCCAAGAAGTAACTAGGTATAATACTCCACCATCCTTATAAAGCTCAATATTACAAGGCATCCACCCAATTAAAAAAATTTTATATTACAATGACTTTAATTTTTTTCCAAAGAAATTTCCAAGATTAAATAAGTACCCTATTATTCAAAAGTTCCCTCCTACCCACCCACCCAATAACCCAAAGGCATGAGTTATTCACAAATTCTCAAGAACTATAAATGAACCTACCTGCTATAGGGATCCCTCCCAGACCTGTGTTGTGCTGTGGCGGGAGATTCAAGTCCAAGAAATTACTATTTGAGGTGGGGTTTGCTGTGTGGTTCAAGTGCATGATGCTATTGCGTGGAAAGGCCATCCAAGGATAGCGGGCAGCTTGGCCTGGAAAATTGAATGAATTATAAACTGCTCGGTGCTGCTGAAATTGAGGGAACCTCTGTGGCAAGACTGAAAAGGTACTATTGAGAGAGTTGGCATTTGTAGGTGCAGCAGGATGTAGGAATCCAGAGCCTGGACCTTTGGCGGTTGTAGTGTGTGATGAGGAGTTCTGAAGAGATGTGGGTGAAAGGGAAGGCTGGTCTTGGACTGATAGTTCCTTTTCAATCAGGTCTGCTAAGGCTTTTCGAGTGACATCAAAGGGATCAAAACCCAAGTCATCCTCTGGTTGTTTAGAAGAACCAAAGCCAAATGCTGCTTGCCAGTCTGTAGAGGACGATACTGGGATTGTTTCTGTTGGAGACAAAATGAGTGATGACTTTAAAATACCATAGCCCATTTTCACACTTAGTAAGTATCCATACTAGTGAAAGTTAAACATCATATTACAAGGTAAAGGTAAATGTAAATAAGGTTTGATTTCTTAGCACATTAAGATTTTGTAAAATTACAAAAGTTCTCATATACTTCTAATTTCATAATGTGTGTGTGTGTGTGTGTATATATATATATATAAACAATATGTATATTATTGATTTCAGAGAGGAAGAGAGAGATAGAAACATTAACAATGAGAAACAATCACTGATCAGCTGCCTCTTGCATACTCACACTGAGGATTGAGCCTACAACCCGGGCATGTGTCCTGACCAAGAATAGAATTGTAACCTCCTGATCCATAGCTCAATGCTCAACTACTGACCCACACTGACTGGACAGTAATTTCATTCTTAAGTTACTAACATTAAAAATGAAGAATTGCCCTAGCTGGTTTAGAGTGTTGGCCTGCAGACTGAGAGGTTGTAGGTTCGATTCTGGTCAAGAGCACCTGGGTTGCAGGCTCGATTTCTGGCTCTGATAGTGGTACGTGCAGAAGGCAACCAATCAATGTGTCTCTCACACTGTTGTTTCCCTGTGTCTCTCCTGCTCCCTTCCACTCTCTCTTAAAAAAAAAAATCAATTGGGCCGAAACCGGTTTGGCTCAATGGATAGAGCATCAGCTTGGGGACTGAAAGGTCCCGGGTTCAATTCCGGTCAAGGGCATGTACCTTGGTTGAGGGCATATCCCCAGTAGGGGGTGTGCAAGAGGCAGCTGATGGATGACTCTCTCTCATTGACGTTTCTAACTCTCCATCTCTCTCCCTTCTTCTCTGTACAAAATCAATAAAATATATTTTTTTAAAAATCAATTGGAAAAAAAAAACCCTCAGGTGAGGACTAACCAAAAAAACTCAAAACAACAACAAAAACCTCTGAATGTTATAGACTGATTATGCTAATGAAAGAAAAAGTACTTGAAACCGAAATTATATTCTTCGACATTCATAATCAAAAACCCAACTTCGCTGGTGTTGCTCAGTGGTTGAGCATCGGCCCATGAACTGGGTTGCAGTTGGGCTCGGTCCCCAGTAGAGGGTATGCAGGAAATGGCCAATCGAAGATTCTCTCTCATTACTGATGTTTCTATCACTCTTTCCCTCTCCCTTCCTCTCTCTGAAAACAATAAAAATATATTTTAAAAAACACACACAACAAAAAACAAGTCATTTAAATGAAATAAAGTAATAACAAATATAATAAAATTTATTAGTAAAATTTACATTAAAATTTTTTTATTAAAGTAAAAGTATAATTTCTTCCATTGAGAATAGATGCTATTCACATTAATAAAAGAACTTAAAATAAATAAAAATGAAATGGCTCAAAATGCCAAAATATAAATTTTAATTTTTCCAAAAAAAAAATAAATTTTAATATAAATCAACACGTCTTTTGTCAGCTGAGGGGAAATCTTAAATTTAACTAAACAAACACAAATCTGGTTTAAATTTAAGCCATGCCCTAGCTAATCTGTTTCAGTGGACAGAGTCAGCTGGTGGACTCAAGGGTCTGGGGATCAATTCCAGTCATAGGCACATACCTCAGTTGCAGGTTTGATACCTGCCCTGATCGGGGTGCACATAGGAGGCAACCAATCAAAGTGACTCTCTCACATCAATGTTTCTCTCTCTCAATGGAAAAATATTCTCAGGTGAGGATTAACAAAAGAAAATAATTAAAATAAAATAAAATGTAAGCCCTTAATACTTTCTAGAAGAATACCTGTTTTATAATTGGAAAAAGATTATCTAACCTTTGATTTCTGGAGAAATCTGTCTGTTATCATAGAACTAAGTTTCAGGTCATAAAACAACTTACCTAATCATCCAATTCCATGCAGTTTATATTTTTAAATGTTTATATTTTTATGAAAAAGAAAACGGAGAGAAAAAGAATAAGAACCCATCAAATCAGGGTCTCATTGTAGCCTGCTGTAATTATGAACATGCAGCGGTGCCGTTATATACCTGATGTGAAGAGGCTCTGTGGCTCTGGTGCTGTAGGCCAGTCACTAGATGTCTGTGGGGAACTGGGGAAAGGAGGAAGCCCACTTGGAATAGGGTTGGGATGGCGAAAGTTATCTGAGAATAACGACTGTGACTCAGTTACTGCCCCTTCAAAAGGAGAGCGTGCACTGTGATTGGATGAACTGATGGGGATGACGGGGTTAGATTTTGATAAACCAGGTGGCGGTGATGGTGTATCACTGTTAGGTATCTAAATGAAACAGGAAAAGAAAAGAATAATCAACATAAGTTTATACATTTTAATAAGCCACAATTAAAATGACTTGAACAAAAGGTATTAAAATAGCCATCTTCAAATTGGGGTACTTCTTTTATGGGACACAAAATAATCCATCAACTTATAAAAAATAGTCTTCTCTAAAACTGACCCTCCTGAAAAGACTAAACCAGTCTCCTCTTGTTTTACAACCTAACTTCTGTCACTTTACACAGAAAAGAATATTTCTCACTCTCTGGGACCTAACTATAATATTTTCACCAACAGTAAAAACTTTCTGGGTATCAAACTAAAACATATTAGAAATATTCAGGTTGCTGTTGAGCAAGTGACTGACACTAATGACTGAATTCTTTTGCAAACTAGGTGATTCCCAATGCACTTGTTTTGAACAAAGATGGAAAGAAGATCTAATCAAGTTATTTCCAAATACATCATTAAAAATGTCTTATCTATCTCAATAAAAGATGAATTTCCAATATAATTTTATTGTTTGTTTTATAATTATTTTTTTATCAAAATCTATACTTATATAAGTTGCTTTGATCAAATCAAAATGTCAGTTATTTCCTTTATATTTTTTAAAACTTTTATTAAACAAATCTTAAATTTTAACCTAAAATACACAGGAAACATACAGATTTTAAAATTCTTTTATGGAATTTATAGACAAAAATTTTGGAAAAGCAGTGTATTTCAGATCTCTCTGTTTCTCACAAACACTATGGAAGAGATTAGAACTACATTTTATTTCTACCAATGTAAGAAAAATGCACAGAAACTTAACCAGTGCCCAGCTGATGTGGCTCAGCGGTTGAGCATCAACCTATGAAACTGGAGGTCACAGTTTGATTCCTGGTCAGGGCACATGCCCGGTTTGTGGGTTCGATCCCCAGTGTGAGGTGTGCAGGAGGCAGCCGATCAATGATTCACTCTCATCATTGATGTTTCTATCTCTCTCTCCCTCTCCCTTTGTTTCTGAAAGCAATTAAAAAAATTTTAAAAAAAGACACCTAACACGTAATGATAATTCTGAACACATATGAAAGGGTTAAATTATGCTCTATAGATTCTGTAGAGAAAAAAAGACTATAATACATTTAGCAAAGCTGTCCACTAAAAGTGTTTTAAAATTGTTTAAAGTTTAATGTATTTCTCACTAGCAATCCATTTACACAAAATGCCCTGTTTTAGGGGATACAACATCAAAATCTTACCTGCTGGGAATTATCACCATTCCCTATACTGAGAGAATCTGAAGGTTTGTCAATGGGGCTGTAAAAAGAAAACAAGTCAAATCAAATCAAATCAGAGTAAAATCATTCTTCCACCATAAAAAGACAGACTTTTTAAAAGCTCAGAAAAATTGGCATCTTACCCTCTAGTAATACTTACTGAAGCATTATGATGTAAGATATTAGTTTGATATTAATAATACGAAGTATAATAAGATAAAATTCCTACCACTGAAGAACTTACATTCTAATAAGATTCTCCAAAAACAATGGGTGAAACAATAGCTTATTTTAAAAAATACTACTTAAGTGAATACTATTCCAAGTGATAGGTTAAAAGTCTAATAAACTATTTAGTTTTGTGCATGTAATTATCACATTCCCCATTAAATTTCTTGAAATAATACCCATTTTTGTAGGTGTTTTTGACAGGGGGTATAAAAGTTATTGGACCGCTCTCTATAGGTTCTTAAGAGCAGTAAATTTAATACTTCAACCCCCTAACCCCCTGGTAGTGGGCAAGGAGACACCTCTCATCATTGATGTCTCTCTCTCTCTCTCTCTCTCTCTCTCTCTCTCTCTCTCTCCCTCCCTCCCTCCCTCCCTCCCTCCCTCCCTCCCTCCCTCCCTCCCTCCCTCCCTCCCTCCCTCCCTCCCCCGCCCCTGTCTCTGAAAGCAATAAAAAAAATAATAAATTAATTTTTTAAAAAAGAAAGAAAAGACACCTAACCAGTGAAATACTAGCAATTAGACAAGATGATACAAAGCAAGCTCTATAGATCAGAACCTCATTCAGTGTCACTATGAGGCAACTCTGAATTTAACTATTTGGTTTACCATTTCAAATCGCTATCATTTGGAGGAAGGGAAATACTTTTGGGAGTAAGTACATGAGAGAAATAGAAAATTGGTGACTGGTGGTGTTGCCCTTATATCAATCAGGGGCAAAGCAGACATATAGTCCTTAGTTCATCCTAGCTTGATGCCTGTGTTAGTGGCCCAAGCTGTTTCATGCCTGAGGCACATAAAATTATAATTCCTAGGTCCTAGAGGTGAAAAGGTCCGAAACACCGGTCTCATAATAAGTAGATAATATTAACTGAGGCTTAGAAGGGGATATAGTTTTAAAATGTTTTTGGAGATATTATGATTACTCTAGTAACTTCTAGATAACAGTTTATGTGACAGTTTTGCAATAGGACATGGATATATGTCATTGCACATAAAACTGGATGCTATGAGATCGAGTACAATAAGTGGGTCACTACTGGCTTTCAGAAAGTTGGGTAAGGGTCTAGTATGGTAATACTGAACTTGTTTCAGAGGACAGTTACTGTGACTCATGTATGCTCAGGAGCCAGAATTTGTTCAAATCCTGTCCCCGCCACTTAACTGTCAGTGTGGTCTTAGGTGCATTTAACATGCCTGTTTCTTTCCTGAAAAGTGAATTTTAATAATAGTACATATGAGTTGTTGAAAAAATAAAACATGAGAAACACTTAATGGGGCCTAGTGCAGTTGTAGCTAATCTATAATAATAAAAGTGTAATATGCAAATCAGCCAAACAGCGGAACAACTCTCCGGACAACATTCTAGACGTAGCTGAGGCTGAGAGGCCCAAGGCAGACGGGGGCGCAAGGGCCGAGCCCCTTGCACAAATTTCGTGTATCGGGCCTCTAGTAATATATGAGAGCACTTATCTTCTTCTGGGTTTAGAAGAAAAAAATTAATACTTCAGGTTTCTAATCATAACCCTACAGAAGGCATGTGCATGAACACACACACACACACACACACACACACACACACACACACACACACTAACAGAAACAAACCTTTGTTTGATTGTGCTAACAATTAATTGTTAAAAAGAAAAAACACATTAAAACTTGACTTCCATACAGAGAAAATTCAGTACCACAGTGAAGTAATTTAGAATTGCTAACTTCAAGTCCACTGGAACTCTTGACTTAAAACCAAAACTGGTATAAGCATTACACACTGACACAGCTTTGACATAGTACTAGCAAGCTATTTCTACAACTAACTTTATTTAACCCCAGTACATGAACAAATGATAAATAAGTATTAGTACCCAAATGCAAAAACTTATTTCTGACATACTAGAGTAAAAAAAAAAAAAAAAAATTAGATTCCACATTTCTTAAAATGATTTTATTGACTGAAAATACATAAAAAGTCACCTTACAGACAAATTACTAGTGCCACATTTAATTACTCTAAAAAATTTAACAAGGGCTAGCCGAAACCGGTTTGGCTCAGTGGTAGAGCGTCGGTCTGCGGACTGAAAGGTCCCAGGTTCGATTCCGGTCAAGGGCATGTACATTGGTTGCGGGCACATCCCTGGTAGGGGGTGTGCAAGAGGCAGCTGGTCGATGTTTCTCTGTCATCGACGTTTCTAACTATTTCTCTCCCTTCCTCCTCTCTGTAAAATATCAATAAAATATATATTTAAAAAAAAAAATTAACAAGGGCTAGTACCCAACCTGAATACCAACAGTACTTTCTGAAGAAGTACTGCCCAATGCTCTAGAATTTGACAGAGATCTGAAATTTACATAAAGAGCATCTTTACTTATTATTATCCATAAAAATTTAAATAAATCAATTCCTGTTATTAAGTCAAATGGTAATTACAAATAATTGTAAGATATAGTTCTGAATCCATTAAGTTAGAGATATTTGTGGTAATAAGACAAGTGCACAAAAACAATTATCTGCCAGCGCCAACTGTTAAATTAATTGTTTCATCAATAAATGCTAGATGTCTTTAGAAGTGAACCCACTGAAGTGGGACATTCGGCGAACGTTCCTAGGGAAGTTCAAATTTAAGTAAGCCACGGGAAGGGGAAAGACCAGCATTAAAGGTAGGAATTACAAGTGTGCCCAGAATCAAAAGGTTGCAGAAAGAGCTGGGCGAAAGTTAAGTAATTAGTTTAGTTAATGTAGGATGATTTTAACAATGGGAGGTAAGGATAGAAAGATGGACAGAGGTCAACGGAAATTTGAGCACAGAAATGATAAAAATAAAGCACTGTTTTACAAAGATAAATTTGGTGGTAACATGAAGAACAGATGTACATAATACACATAAATTGAGATAAACCTACAATATATTTTTTAAATTTTATGTGGTAAAATACACAACATAAAACCATGTTAAATATTTTAAGTGCACAGTTCAGTGTTACTAAATACATTCACATTGTTGTTAATACTATCAACCATCTTATAACTCTTCATCTTATAAAACCTGAAATTCTGTACACACTAAACAATAACTCACCAATTTTCCTACCCCCCCAGCATCCACCATATTCTTTCTGTATAATTCTGACTACTCTAAATACCACACATAAGTGGAATCATTTGTCTTTTTGTGACAATAATGTGCTCAAAGTTTGTCCATTTTGTAATATATTGAAGAATGTCCTTCCTTCTTAAGGCTGAATAATATTACATTGTATGTATATAACATATTTCTGCTTGTCCATTGATCTGTCCATGGACACTTGTGTTCAGATTTAAATTATTGAGAATAATGCTGTTATGACATTAGTGTAGGAGTATTTCTTTGAGATGCTGCTTTCTGTTCTTTTAGGTACATAACCAGAAGTGAAATTGATGAATTTTACCGTAATTCTATTTAATTAAAAAAAAATATTTTATTGATTTTTTTACAGAGAGGAAGGGAAAGGAAGAGAGAGTCAGAAACATTGATGAGAGAGAAACTTCGATCAGTTGCCCCCTGCAGACTGGGGATGTGCCCGCAATCAAGGCACATGCCCTTGACCGGAATCGAACCTGGGACCCTTGAGTCCCCTATCCGACACTCTATCCACTGAGCCAAACCAGTCAGGGCTCTATTTACATTTTTGAGGAACTTTCATACAGTTTTCCAAAACAGCAGTACCATTTTATATTCCTATCAATAGTGCACCAGGGTTACAATTTCCCCATACCCTTTCAAACTCCTTTCTGCTTTTTTTTTTTTCATGGCTAAGTGACTATTTGTATATCTTCTTTGGAGAGATGTCTATTCATGTCCTTTGCTATTTTTCAATCAGGTTTTCTAATTTTTGTTGTATTGGGTTTTAGGAGTCCTCTATATATTCTTGTTATTAGCCACTTAGATATACGATTTGCTAATATTTTCTTCTATCTGTGTGTTGTCTTTTGCTGTGGATAGTGTCATTTGATTCACAAAATTTTAAAATTTCCATGAAGTCCAATTTGTCTATATTTTTTCTTTTACCTGTGCCTTTGGTGCCAGACCCAAATCCAATCCCATGAAGCTAAATAAATGCCTTGAAGTCCTATTAGTGTTTTAGGCCTTATGTTTAGGTCACTGACCCATTTTGAAGCAATTTTTGAATAAGGTGTTAGGTAAAGGTTCAACTGCATTCTTTTTCTTGTGAATATCGTTTTCCTAACACCATTTCTTGAAAAGATTGTCCTTGCTCTATTGAATGGTCTTGGCATTCTTGTCAAAAATCATATGACGCTATATGTGAATTAATTTCTGGACTCTTTTTCCACTGGTCTATATGTTTGTATGTCTGCTTTAGCCAATAACACATTGCTTTGATTACTTAATAAAAGATTGCTTCTTTTTTAAAGATTATTTGGCTATTTGGGATACTTTGAGATTCCATATGGATTTTAGAATGGGCTCTTCTATTTGTAAAATCTGCCACTGGAATTTTGATTACGGACTGTACTGAATCTATAGACAGCTTTTAAAAAAATTACTAATTCAATCTCCTTAGTAGTTATATATCTATTAATATTTTCTATCCCCCCCCCCCATTTTTTTTTATCTTGGTAGATTTTTGTTTCAGGTATGTCCATTTCATCTATGTTATTCAATTTGTTGGCATACAATTGCTCACAGTATTCTCTTATAATGCTTTATTTCTGTAGAATCTGTAGTAATGTCCCTACTTCTATTTCTGATTTTAGTAATTTGAACCTTTTCCCTTTTTTAATAGTCCAGCTAGCTAATAGTTTACGAATTT